ACCAAAGTCTGTGTAAAACACAAAAATGTCTCAATGCATTCGAAGCAATTCAGTCTTTGCCGTAAGGACATGCACACAGGCAGAGTTAAACTTTTGCACTCCCCACCCTTTAGCCTGAGCCCCCACTTTTATGCTGCCCATCAGGACAGGAGTTAGAAGGGCAGTGGGTCAAAGCAGACAGGACTAAAGTGGCTCTCTGAGCAGAGAAAACTGTTGCTGTGATCTGTTACCAACAGGCTGACACTTGGAGGGGCTGTCATGCGCTTGTGCTGGAGTTAAAAGGCCTTATAAGGCAAAGCCTGAACAAACTGTTAAGCAGTCTGAAGTGTTCCTCAGTGCTGAAAAACCTCCAGGGAATGCACAACATACCCCTGGCAAAGATTACAGCATATTTCACAGCAAGCTCATAGAGTAACAAAGCAGATATTGTATCTTTGAATTTCAGGCTCTGCAGGCTAGTCTCAGCAAGAAAATTAAGATCAGGTCCCCTTCTTGGATTCATTTTACTGCAATGGGGCAAGCTAAGTGTCATTCATTAAATCTGTCTTTAAGATTTCATAAAGTTACACATCAAGTTCTTTTCTGGAAATAAGCTCTCTACAGCAGAATACTTACTTGGAGGTCTCTGTATGCTGATGGCTGGACAAACCAGATCTGTTTCATCTGTGGTAGTAGTCAGTATCAATAACAAAATGAGCAGATGTTGCTCCTGAAATCTTGACAGTAACCCAGTCTTGCTTTGGCACCCTCCAGCTCACTGGAGGTGTGAGGTGTGAGGAATTCCAATACCTTCTCTTTTCCTTTCATGGTTCAGGTGGAGTTGAGGCACAGCTGCCTTGCACCCTCTTCACAGGCCTGCAGGAAGAGTGTTGCATGCTTACATGGAACAGTACCATGTCATCAGTAGCACAGAGTCTAGTATTGTTTAAGTTATCCATCAATGACTTGGATGAAGGGGCAGAGGCCTCCTCAGCAAATTTCCTGATGACACAAAGCTGAGAGGCGTGGTCAATACCCCACCTCAAAGCCTTGTTTTTTCACTACGTGCCCTTGTAGAAAGTTCCTCTCCAGCTTTCTTGCAGGCTCCTTTCAGGTATTGAAAAGACACAGTAAGGTCAAATAAGATCACCCTTCTTGAGAAAGGGGGAAAGGGGGAGTCTTCTCCGGACTGAACAACCTTGAGTGGATGAGGGGACTGGAGCAACTCTTATCAGAAAAAGCTGAGGTAGCTGGGCTTGCTTAGCCTGGAGAGGTCTAAGAGGAGGTCTAGAGAATGTCTGTAAGTATCTGAAGGGACAGTGTCAAGAGGGCTGTTAGTGGTGCCAAGCAATAGCACATGAGACAATAGGAAGAAACTGATGCACAGGAAGTTCCATCTGAACGTGAGGAAGAATTTCTTTACTGTGTGGGTGACTGATTACTGGAACAAATTTTGATGCTGTGATACTTTGAGGTTCTCACTCACTTGCAAAGCAGTGAGCTGTACCAGAAAGATAGGAGCCATCTGTACCCCTATAAACCAGATCAAACTGCTGCCAGTCTGACACCTCATGCTCACACACAGTTTCTCTGATCTCTTCTCTGCTGGTTCTGCTATTTGCATTCTCTTACTCAAATCTGTATACTGTTCAAGCCCCTTCCTTGTTATTTCCTGATGTTTTAAAATAAATCCTTTCCAATTCCCTTTTCTGTTTCTACCCAGCTGCCTGTTTACATTATGCGGATGCTGACCTAATAATTACATGGGCATCCAGGGGGAAAAGCGTATTTAGTCACTTCTCCAAAGTAAATATGGTTGTTCAGAGCACTGCTATTAATTACAAAAGTAACAGAAATTTATGAATGCCAGTGTGGAATGACTTTCAAAAAGCAAGATCATTGAACTGAGATTTGTCTTCTTCACCCTAGAAGGAAGCTGCATGGAGGTAGTCTTGCTACAGCTGAAGGGGAGCAGACTGGGCATCTGTTGGATATCCACTGGCTCCCTCCTCATACACTATGTAATAAAATGTTATGGTTTAGGAATGGTACTCCTCAATTTATTTCTCTCACTGAGACTTCAAACCACGCTGACGCTGGCTTGCTTCCCTCTTCCACTCTGTCTTCCTGCTCCAGTGGGATGGATTTGAGAACTGCAGGCACAAAAGGTGAAAATAGCAGGGTGATATAAGAACAGTTTACTGAAAAGAGCAACAAAATAAGAAAACAATAACAGCAACAATGGTAATAACAAAAACCATAAGACAAAGAAACAATTTACACAGAAAATTCTCGACAAATACAAACCAGCTCTTTCCCACCATACTTTTACAAGAGGGAAAGGATGCCTTTCCCCTTGAAAGTTAGAGAGAGTCCCTTTCCCCCACCCCTGGAAATGATGTGAGGTGGTATCGAATAACATTAGGGTCTGGTCATGCCCCTTTCCAGCTACTGTGAAAAAATAATAACCCTGTCCTTGCCAAAGCTAGGACATGGATATTCATGTGAGAAGGGCTTGCCAACACATTTATCATTTGCTGTTGGTACCTTGTTCATGGATGCCAAAGATGGGACTGAAAGTTCTTTGTCCATGGCTATAATTCACTTCTGTCCCAAGACAAATTCAGACACACTGCAAGTGATACACACATTGTTGTGGGTGCAAAAGATGTATCCATACATCTTCGTGACATCATACCAGCCTTCTTCATCAGAAGGAAGACTTGTCCTGCCTAAGTTTCAGCAGGGCACTGGATAGTGTAAGTCGGTCCCCAAAAAGTAATATGGAAATCAGCAGCCAGCTAAAGTGACTGGAGCTGAATGAGGAGCGATAGCACATTAGTCATCTACAGATAACAATTGACAGTGACTGAAGAGGGGTAAAAAGTGCCATTTGTCCCGTAACCATAACAAAACCAAAACAGTCTAAGTATTCAACTTTTCAGCAAATTGGTTTTGACTGTTTTGTGCATGGCTTTCTAAAAATGGCGAGATAATTGAACTGGAAGGCACTTCCATAAAGACAGAGCATTAAATGAGTATTTCAGAAAAATCACATTTGAAATCCATCAGCACAAGAGCATTCTCATTGAAGACACATGACCTCTAGGAAATGCCTTCTCTAACTACTGAATAGCAGCAGCTGGTGACTGGAAAAAGCCAAATTGAGATATAGTTATTTTAAAAGACTGGTGGTAAAGGCAGGCAAATAAAAAAAAAAAATATAGAGAAAAGCAATGTACACAAATACTATGCAGAATAAACAATGCATTCAAACCAGAATCAAATTGGGGGATATCAAATCAGTGCTAAGCTAAAGGTCAGAGGAATAAAAGTAGAGAAATGAACACAATTTCTCCCCTGGCAAAATTAGATATAACAGATGGGTGAAAACCTGTTAATAAGGTTGGTTCAGGCCAGGGACTAGAAGTATGACTCAATTTTGTGTGTAACATACATGACTGCTTACATTTAGTTGTAGAAGCCTAGAAGAGAAGGGCCCAATGTGTATGTCTTTAACACAACAGCCCAGTAGCTTGGAGCTAAACAAGGACTGACAGTAAGAACACTCTGAAAAAGGACAGGATATGACTGGAGAAGGGGGCCATACAGTGGTACAGCAGTACTTTTCTGGGACAAACATCCTTTTTCTGGCTCCTGGACATAAGCACAACACAGTACAGCACAAGTGCAGGAATGAGGTTGAGAAGCAGGCATGAACTGTCAGCTAAAGGTTGACCCAGTAGGAGGGGGGACACCAAAATCACCAAAGAACCCTAAGATCCTCCAACCCATTTCCAGAAGGTCTAGAAGAACAAACTGTGTACAACAATTAATTTGCATGGAAAGGGAGAAAGTTAGCTCCAGTGTGAGGAAACTTATCTATAAAATGTACCCCTAGGAAGCCCAGGTGCTGCCCCCAGGACTCTGTAACACCCTGTGATCTGGATTGACACTGGAACCAGGAATGGTGATCTTTCTTTCTTCCTTTCTCTCTTCCTTCCTCTCTCCCTCTCTTTAATCTCCCTCTCTCTTCTTCCACCCTATTAAAATCCACCATTGTATGCTTATACTAGAAGATAAGGACTAACTTATACCAATTTCCATGCCAAGAGTATAATTAACTGATAAAACTCTGCAACTTTTGGGAACCCTCTGACTTCTGTCGTTCCTTTTTGACCATGAACATCTGCGCACTTGTGTGTTCTCTTCCCTTTCAGTGTGGAACGCCCCACTAGCTAATTTTCACCAGTGTCCTGAAGCAGTCCTTTTGTGGTGTAAAATAAATTCCAGGCTGCCATAAACTGCTGGCACTGAAAACTTCTTTATGTTCTTCTCTATGTTTTATCCACAAACCTCATATTTTTGTTGCTATTTGTCATTATAATCTACAGTAGTAATGTGAAAAAAAGAACTCTAATGATTTCCAGATCTTATGGCAAGAGATTTTATTTTCTTAAAGCTAGAAAATAATACATGGGTGCTGGGGTTTGACTTTGCTTAATCCCCCAGTATTTACAAATAAAGAATGCCAATTGAGTTAAGCTAGACAGTTTGGTGGTGTACATGAGACTCAGAACAGATCTTTGGCAATGCCCCTTGACTGATGTCAAAACTGTGTTCAGAAATGATCCAGAAGCTCAAATATCAATGCATAACCTTTACAGGCTTCGAAAATAATGTCTATGCTGCCAATTACAACCCTGTAACTTTTTATGCCTATTTCTGGACACAGAAGATGTTCCCCAAATCTGGGGGGTTTCCCTAAAAATAGCTGTGAAGGTGAGAGGAATAGAGTTTGCAGAATTTAGTTTATATTTACATTGTAAAGCAAAGAAACTCAGCAGTGAGAAAAACATTTTTACTATGTGCCTCTGTATGAAACCACTACCAACTGAAAACTCTGATGTCAAAAAGATATCAAAAAAAACTTTCTGATGAGAAACTTTTTTATTAAGCCTGTTCAGGTCCTACAAAATCTAGGAATCAAGTTGGTTGTATTCTGCTCTCTTTATGAACAGCTTGAAGCCTGTGCCTTGTTCAACGGGATTTGTACTACTCTGGACTGTGAAAATGAGTTGGACATTCATTTCCAAGGTTACCCTGGGTCAGAGGCTGCTGATGGGCATATATTTGGTAAGGGGAACTCTGATCTTTGTACCTGGGATTAAATTCTGTAAAGGTACAAAACCATTTTATTTTCTGGAACAAATCTGTGAGAGCATACTATCTTCTGTGGTCAGTGTGGGATTAAGAGCAGAGGGACCTGACTGCAAGCAAAATGTTGTTGAAAATATAATTACTGAGCTGACTAACTACAATACTATTAGAGGGAGAAGCTGTGTGGAGGGATGAATTGCTGCTTGTCTACTTTATGATTCATTCATCTGATTATGCCAATGGAAACAATTTGCTGTAGTGTCTTTTGTACACAACCAGGAAACACAGAGCTCTCAGAGCTCCAGTAGTTCTCTCATTTTAGTATGGCTTGGTACCATTTGAATGAACCTGCATGTAATTAGGCTCCAAAGTGCCCCCTATCACACATAGAGGCACTTTTCTTAAGAAAAGCAGACAAAGCCTTATTAGGTCAAATTTGCCCAGCCCATGTAAACCAGCCTGTAATACTGGAAGACTTGCAGGAAACAGGCATGCATGCTTTGGAGATGAAGGAAATCAGTGCAGCTCTACTGACTTAATGTGGGCAAAGATCCCGGAGGAGATGCCTGTTTGTGTCTATGAACCTATGTGTTTGTCTGGTAGAAACCTAAAGGCTTGAATTAGTTCGCTCTTGTCATCTTCCAAAGCAGTGATGTAGCCCTGAGTATGCCAGTAAGCCACTCATTAGGAAACATTACAGAAAGCCCTGGGCACGTGCCTCCTTGTAGCTGGCTTTTCCTGTCATGACTAGATCTTTCCATGTGTCCTTGTTCTTGACAGATAAGAGCAGAAGAGCTCTTTAAAGTGCGTCTTGGCTGACACTGACATCTCAATAGACAGATAAAAAGTAGAGAGATTTCCTCCTCCTGTTTTTCCTCCTCCAATCCACAATTGTCACTTATCTCCCCAGCTAAGCCAATTATAGTGCCTCAGAAGTGTCCCCACGAAGAAAGGGAAGCAGACAGACAGACACCAATTGAATTTCCTACAGGCAATATACAGAGGTTGTTTTGTTCCTGCAGCAGAGCCATTACTCCCTTGTGTCGCTGGTGACTCAACTGAAGACTGAACCCTGTGAGACAAAAATGATGCAATGTTCCTAAAAATTCAGCAGGGACTGCAGAAATTTATTTCATTATCAAACTGCAAGCTACTCCTTACTGTTTCAGGAAGCTGTGAAGAGATAGAAAAGTAAGGGAAGAGGAGAAGGCAGTGAAGAGAAGAAGGGAGCAGCACAGGGGAGGGAAGGGAAGCATAGCTGATCATCTCTAACCTCCATGGCTATTGTATACATAGCTGATGCCATCATTACCTAGTAAAAAAAAAAAGATGTCTTTATTTGGACTTCAGTAGCAGCCTGGCCATGGATAAAGACTTCCATTGTGCTAGACAGGCACTGCATAAATGTTGAATGAAGTGCAGTCTAAAGATGTCCTCTGCAGGAGCCTAAGACTCCTCTGCAGAAAGGAGAAGCATGTCTGTGCTAGCTTAAATCCATCTCTTGTGGGCAATAATGTAACAGGGCCTCTGCAATACAAAGTGGACTGTTGGTTAGCTGTCTAGTTCAGTATCCAGGGTACAATTTGCAGAGATGTTCTGTCCAGGGCAGCTGACACAAAGCTACTGGGGACCTGGATGGGGCCCACCTTCCAACTGCAGGTAATGCTTCAGTAAGAGTGGGAATAAAGAGCAACAAAAAGGACTCAGAAGCCTGCCAAGCATTCAAAGAAGCTCTCAGTAAGTTTGATGTGAACTTTAATGAATAAAACATCTTGCCAGAGTCCTAAAGCATTGTCGGGTCTATGCTCTTAAAAACTTGTGTCAGTACTGTTTCATTAATATACTTGTTTACTTATATATGTAATATATGTTTAACATGCATTAAACCCATACCAGTGAAATTTCTAGAGCAAGTGGCTATACCTGGCAAAACTGTGTTTTGGTTAGAAGAATTTGCACCAGTGTAATTGTGTGAAATAAGAACAGCTGAAGTACACAAGGGCTTTTGCTGGAACAGCGAATTTGCAGAGCAACTGTATCTGTTACCAATAGAGCATTCTGGCAATATTTGTGTTTCAAAAACCACCCAGCCATAACTCTTTTAAAGTGTGTATTTTATTCTGTTTCCATGATAGCTTCAACATTTGCATAAGATAAGTTGTGTCTGTCCAGCTCTGGCATCCCCTGAATATTGTTTGACAGGCAGGAGGAAGGAATGTAGGAGGAAAGGGAAAGAGAAAGGAAGTGATAGTTTAACCTCCGTCTTCAAAGAGTGAAACAAAAACCCTTCATTTTTCTATCTACTTCAGATTGCTAACTGAAGGGTTTATTTTGTGTGTAAGTTTGTATAAATTATCCTTTGGATGCAGGTATTGAAAGCATATGAAACTTGTGTAAACGTGTGTGTCATCTAAAGTGAAAGGTGTGGTGTGAAAGATACATTGCTTTGGCTCTCAGCAGATTTGTGTGTATTTAGTTCCAAAGATGAGAGAACAGACTTTTACTCTCTCTTTTTATGTTTCAGTTTTGTCTGGCTCCCTGTTGCTTGAAATCAACACCTCAAGCCCCTTTTATTAGAAGACATCCCTCACAAGAAAAGCCAAGGTGATTGTCACATGCATTTAGTTACTTCAGCCAATGACTCAAGCTCCTTCCTACAGCCTTTGACAAGAGAAAGGTGAAATATCTTTCTGAAGTCCAGTGAGAAGGCATTATGAAGGTATGTTAATATTTGGAGAAGTCATCTCATGTTCCTCCCTGGGCACAGCATCTAGCAATTTCAGAAATGTGTCAAACAACAAATGGAAGTATAAGCATTTCCTAGTTTTAAAGTAAAACTCCATCCCAAAAATGTTTGACAATCAATACTGACTAAAGGTGGTTGGGGATAATTAGAATTTCAGTGCCTACAGTAAAAAGCAAACAGCTCCAAGTTCCAGTTCAGTACTTAGAAACAGAAGTAATACTTTTTTGGTGGCTAGCCTAGAGACTGAAACATTGGCAGTACTGATTCAGCTCAAGCACTTTTAGCAGTCTACAGTTTCGGGTTTTTTTCTTAATTCCTTGTTTCAGCTCCTGCCATGTGATGTACTGTTATATATCTCCCTGCCTTCTAGGTTAGCCCAATGAAACCATGTTGATGACCCATCCTGTTTAATGCATAACATTAGCATTCCTGTAAGAAACTGTGAATCTCAACAGGCTTATCCTCACATAAGCCTGACTTTCCCTGTATGGAAACTTTTTCTCAGATGTAAATGTGCAACTTTGAAACTGTCCTGGTAAAGTCTTGCTGGTTTTTCTGGGTATGTTTTGGTGCTTTGTGTTATTTGGTATTGCTCTTACTAGTTCAGGTTCCTTTCAAAGAATTCACCACCATTCAGGGAGGAGTTCCAGGTTAGAAACACCTGCTGATGTTATGGTAGGGAATAACTGCTTGGTTTGCTTTTACTTGTCCCTTTGGAAGCGTTGATGCATGGAGCCTTCAGCCATACTTGTGAAAAGCATCCCTCCCCATCATGTATTGGAAGATGCACACTTTTGATGATGACATTTGATGGTGCACTCTGTCCATCTGATACCTAAAATTTCTCTTTCTGTTTCTAAGACTGAGCGTCTTTTTTTTTTTTTTTTCCCCAGCGTCAGGAGTTTCTTTCATCAGTGATGGCAGATGGTGATCGACCCCTGCTTCAACATCTGGGTACATCATTGTTTCATTTTCAGGAAAGATGTAGCAAACATGCTTCTCTGCAGAGGATGTATTGCCCTCCCATCCACACTCCTTTCCCATTAGATCATCTTAATGAAAACATCAAAAGAAAATTCAGTTACATAATTTCTTGTTGAACACAACATCTCAGTTAGAGGTAACTAAGATGAAGTGCTATAGAGAGAGTTGGGTCTTAAATACATGCAATCCCTTTAAATATATCAGAAAATGTAAGTAAATGAGCAATGAACCCATTAGCCAAGTCCTTATGCTCCTTTCCTAATCTCTGATCTGCATCTGATGCAAGAATTATGTGATCTGATGCATTTCAGGGCTCCTAACCTGTGGTGTACCCTGAAGATTTTTTTTTTTACCCTACATCATGACTTGATTTACCTTCCATTACGAAGTACTGAGGAAGTCCTTACATAGCATGATGTCTAAAAAAGGCAAGTTTATAAAAAAGATAAAAAGGCGTGAATTACTGGAGACATTAATTAATTTGTTTTTCCTGAATTCAATCATTTCCTAACTTCTGAGAAGCAAGACACTTTTGTGATTTTACATCTGGTTACTGCATCATCAGTACACTGATACTGGAATTCTGAACTTGAATGTGTAGTAGAGGGATTTTTGGTCAGACTGCTAATGTCTGTATGTTTTATTGCTCTAGTTGATCAGTCTCACTGAATTAATTGTTAGTGCAATGGGAAGGAAGTACATATGTTTTTTGCGTATTTGAATCTGGCATCCATCTATCCCAAAGGAAATAAAGTTCTATCTTCATATCCTTCATATCCTTCTCCTCCTTCCTCTTCCTCTTCCATAAGCCTATTAACCTATATTAAAAATAAGAATGAAAATAAAACAATATTTTAGGGTATACAGAATTGAAACAAGTTAATTTGTGACGGACAGTATTTTGGAAATGAGGATCTTCTGTGGTGTCTCAGGTTAGTCACACAAAATCTATTGCATCACTATAAGACCTTTTGTTCAGTATATGAGTGTTTACTCCCAACAAATATGTTTTTCTTCTCCCATGTAATAAATGCTTGCATTGTCAAATGAAGACAGTCAATTTTAACTGTAAATTACTCAATTTGCAAGAATATTTTGTGTTCTTTACACTTCAAACTCATGTTGATGGAAAAAATTATTATTCTGGAGAGAATCCAATTTTTAAAAGGTTAAATTCTGTTTCCTTGACCTATTTTTAGTAAAATAAAACACACTTCTCTCTGCAGCTTTGCATATAACAACAGTCCCAAGGCACAATGCCTAATAAAGAATTAACTATTTTGTTGTCCTATAGCTGCAACGTTAAAAGCAATATAACTGTTACTTTCCACTCCTATCTTTTATTCCCCCCAGCACTCTTTCTGTAAGAAATCATTTTGTTGATGGAGGAAAAGACAGATCATCTGGGCAAGCTAACAAGTTACAGCCCCATGGGAGTTACACAATGCAAGAGCACCTGTGGTGCATCAGATCAAAAGAGCCATGGCCTAGTGGGCCATAGCAGCTTCTGAAGGGAGAAGGTATGCATTGCAAGGGCAACCATGTATGTGATGCTTCCTCTAAGTGTTCTCCCAGTTTCCAATCATTTGGGACTCAGGGACTTCCTGAGCTGGACATAACCATCCTTGGCCTTTGCTGCCCTGGGCTAGCACACTTGCCTTTTGACCCTAAATAGCCTTTTAGCACACACATCAGCCTTCAGGCAAAAGTGACTCTTCAAATCATTCATGCTTCACAGATTTCTACCACGCTTCCCCCAGTTCATCTCTTTCCAGGCTAAAAAATTCAGTCTACACAACCATCCCTTGCAAGAAATGATGACCCTGTGGTCATCTTTCTCAGCCTTCTCTTAATATTCTCCAGTTAGTGGTAATATTCCTCTAATTCATTATCACAGGTTATCTACATATATCTGTTTTTAAAAGTGCCTCAAGACCTTTGTGTTTCCATTCTAGCAGCTTCTTCAAGGTACTGAGTATTCATATTACACTGTGGCCAGGGTACGTAAGCAAATGAATTCAGGCTCTGAAGCAGCAAAGCTTTCCTTTTGCCTTAAAGTCACCTAACAGGAGGTAAGTAATCCCATTACAGGTGGGTGTATGTCAAGCCTGTTGAGGGTGTGTTTGGTGAAGGGCAGCATTCATTCTGCAACCTGGCCGTGTGATGCAGCTCTTACAGAGGGTGTGAACTGCTACCCAAAAGATCACTGCCTGGAAGTAATACATCCTCTCTCCCCAAATGCCCTGCCTCATCTGCACCCCTTTCATGTGCTCTACATGAAATAAGGCTGCTGTATTCACATGGAGAATCCCATGACAGTGCAGTGTTCCTCATTATGAGATTTAAGAACCATTTGAAAAACTAGTCTGATAAATACTGAAAAACGCTGCTTGGCTGCTGCTCAGCGTGAAGGAAATCTAACCAACTGCAGGCTAGACGTTTGTCGTGCAAAACTACAATGCTGTGCTTTCACCATCCTTCTGGCTTCTGTGCAAATGAGTAAAAGTCTTTCGAAGCAAAAAACATTCCAGGCAATATTCACGTTTCTCATCATTCAGCCTCCTTTTCTGAAAGATCACTGTGAAATCACTGCCTATTCCTGAAGAAGTCCTGCTCTAAGATACAACCCTGTGCATGTCCCACTGCAACTGAGCAACCTCAGCCTCAGAAGAACAAGTAGATGAAGATCCTCATCTTCATCCTCCTTCATAGGAGCAATATGACTCAGGGATATTTTTCCCGTTGATGTAACACTAAGAAACCTACCTGGTCAGTACGTTTATAAATATTGTGTTTCGAGGGGAGTTACCCGATTCAACTGGAACACTCAAGTTTTTGTCAGATGGGAATCCTATTTGTTTTGGTTTTCATGACTATTACATGGCAAAAACCTTTAAAATATTTTAAATTATTTGAACTCCAGAAAGGTCATTACAACTTGGCAAGATGAAAAACACTCTGAACTGCAAATCTGACTCAAACATTTGTGCCTTGACCTCATTAAAAGCTATCATGATGCCACTGTTGTAAATTTAAAAATGCCAGTTTCTTTTCCTTTTCAAGCTATATGTATTCATATAAATGTGTTTACTTACTTCACAATCTTTATCAAATTTTCAAGGAAACTATGAAGCGATGTCATAAGAGGAACTTCTGACAAGAAAAAGTAAATGAGAGGTCAAACTACTGGAAGTCTTGCAGGGACCTCTGCTAGCCAATGTATTAATAAACAACCCTGGAAAGGAGGTGAGCTGTAGGATGATGGCATTAAGGGTAAGAAGTACAAGTACCAACTGGGAAGAGCTGCAGAAAGATCAGAGTGATTGGATAAGAAACTGACATGAAACTCGGTGTAGGAAAATTTTACATAAAGTGTTCCACAAGGGGAAATCTCATCTGAGCTTTCAACCTAAAATAATGTACAATGAGTGGACGATGACTTCTTTGGAGAGAGGTCTTAGGGTTATGACCAGTACTACCAAGAAAATGTCATATCAATGTGAAATAGTGGTCAAAAAAAAAAAAAAAAAAGGCAAGGCAAAAGCTATCAAGGAACAGAGAACAAACCAGAGAATATCATAGTGCCACTGAATAAATCAGTGTTTTGATCATCCTTTGAATATTCTGTGTAATTCTGGTACTGTAATTCCAGAGGAGATATGAAGGAGTTGGAGCAGGATAACTCCAGGATGTTCAGCAAGGAATGGTTTCTATACTGGCAACCGCTGAGTTCAGTCTGAAAAAGTGAGAAATTTAGGCGTTATTGTAGGGATCTACATATAAAATCATGATTACCAGAGAGGGACTGACTGAGTTCACTGTCATCCAGTTCTACAACAAAAGGTCATCAAATTCAGAGAGTGGGAATGAGGTTGAAAAGAGACAGTGGGAAATAATTCAGGCAACGAGTCTGGGAAAATCCTTGCCAAAGGATGCTGCCATAGTGCAGTTTTACATGGCTCAAGGGCCACCAGGTTTAACTAAACACACAGAAACACAATGCAAATGCAGGAAACACCCTGCAGTGAAAATATCTGGATACTGGCAGAGTGTTAAAGAGGAGTGTCATATATTAATGGCCGGTACATATTGTTCCCCAGGTATCCACTTAAAATGACTGCTGGAAAACAGGGTAAGGAGCAATCTAGACCTTTGCGTAGCACAGTGTGGATGGCCTCAGGTCCAAATAAGCCCCTGCCTCTCTCCAAATAAGCTTCTGTATGTGTAGGCTATGGCAGAGATGAAGGAGCTACGTTTCGGTGCTTTCTTACCTTCTCAAGAGCTATCTGAAAAATCCAGCACAAAGCAGAAAAATACACTGAGAAATCACATGGTGTGCATTTCCTCTAACTTGACCACATCATCACCTAGGCTACTAATCTGTATGTTTTTACTGTGTAATTGAACTTCACTTTGTGCAAGGAATATTTCATTTTGTGTTGAGGGGAAAAAAAACTAAAGGAGACAAGAATTGCGGTCAAAGTCTTGTGAAAAACATCTTAAGCAGTGTCTCCTGCACTGATAAAATGTAGGCTTTGGGAAGCTGAGAGGTATCTAATACAAGCTTTCCTCTCTCTTGCCGTACCCTGAAACACCTTCAGCAATACATTTGCTTTCACAGACATGAAATCAGTATAAATTCCAGCTACTGATGCCACATGCTGTCCCATCTTTCCACACAGAATCATAGAATAGTTTGGGTTGTAAGGCACCTTAAGGATCACCCAGTTCAAGTGCCTTTGCCATTGGCAGGGACACCTTCCACTAGACCAGGTTGCTCAAGGCCCCATCCAGCCTGGCCTTGAACACTTCCAGGGATGGAGCATCCACAGCTTCTCTGGGAAACCTGTTAAACACAAGGTTTTCCCTCCCAGTATCCTTGATCAGTCTGTATAAGTGGGCAGTAAGGCAGTTCAAGGAGTCGATCCATCAGTGAGCTAACCTTGCAAACAAAAATTACTGTTTTCCAGTTGTATGAGTTCCATCATGTGCAAGGGACAGGGGCAATGCCAGGGAGGTGGCCTGTCTGTTCAGTCACTGGCTTGTGCCTTCCTCACTTCTGTGAATGCTGACTGAGGTAAGAGGACTGTTTCCTGCACAAAGAATATTATTTTTCAGTGTTTTGTGGAGGTAAAATAATAAAGCAAGGACTATGAAAGTTTAATAACTTCTGTAGTTCAGTCTGACCTTTGCCTAGCAGAGAGGGATTTCAAGCATCTCTTCTGTCCCTTGGGAGCACTTTTCCTATTTTTAAAGGCTTTCCTTACATGTAGTCTGGAAAAGTTGTCTTTCCTTTAATCCTTCTGTAAATCTGTTCTGCAACAGAGAAAGAACTTGGGAAAATAATCCTTATAGGGCTCCTTCTGTTTTAATGACTGTGTTTCTTTCTCTTCCTCTCTATAGATGTACATACTTAAAGATACTGCAAAATCAGCCCTTAGCACTTCTCGCTGTCTTAACAAAGATATAAATATCTCACCTGCTCTGACCTCCAAAATCCAAGCTATCCTGGGAAAGGTGACTTTTGATTATAAATTGTAACCACATGTTGTATTAAAGAGTATGTCAAAACTGATCTCTTTGCAATTCTCATTTGTGCTAGCATCTGGAATAATTTAAATTATAAATGAAAAACTGACCTCTGTGGTTAGCCAAATCAAAAGGCCTGAAAGGCTTCATGTTTAAAGAGTCATTTGATTCCTAAACAGATCAGGAAGTTTTAAAAACCAAAATCTGACCAAATCCTTCAAAAGAAAATAATTAGGACCAAAAAAAAAAAAAAAAGAGAGAATGGGAAAGAAGAAGAAACAGAAAAGGAGAAGAGAAAAAGGAAAAAAGGAATAGGACTACCCTGTTCACTGAAAAGCTAGACAGCAAACTCAGATAAAAAAAAAACAACAATGAGCATTTCAATGACATGCTTTAATTCATACCAAGTTTCCTACTAAGGAATTACTTGAAAGTTAAGCACATGCCTTTGACAAGAAGAGGTGGGATTATTCGTGATGGTTAGTGTTAAGGGCTGGACTGCACTGGGGTCATTCTTAGGGGAACATGCTCCATATATGCAAATTCCTCATTGGACAAGACTCTGCTACCAGGATTGCAAGGGTTGATCTCCTCCTGAGGGTAGAGGAGAGTGCAAAGAGGGCCAGGCAAAACCCGCATGAGGTTTAGAAGCTTTCCAATGGCTTTTCTCAATTACAGGAGTAAGGATTGTTAAATATGTGCAGTCAGCACCATGTGGAGCAATTTTGCTGAAAAATGCAATATACTTTCCCTTGATTTAGGCAGGGGATTAATTAAAAACACGTATGCATTTACCCTCCTGCCAGAACACAAGTTGATCTAACTAGGTTGGCAAAAACTTTTCCTGAAGCATCAATCTGAGTAAGCATAGCATGTTGAGAGGGACAAGGTTAGTTCTTTCTTTGACCAGGATTCTTTGACCAGGGTGTCTTGAGATCAGGGAAAGACCTTTAGCTTTTAAACAAAAGCAAAGTTCACTAGATTATATGGGTTCATGATGATAATGTAGTAGGGAAGGAAGCTGCTTTACAGAAGTGGGAACTGTAAATGTCAGCTCAGTATACCATGAAAGCAGTCAGCCTTATGAAACTCAACTTATTTTATGATGTTAAGTGGAGATTGGCTGTCTAGTGTAAATCCTGGATATTTTTTCTGTAACTGTTTTCTTTCAAACACGTAGTGAAGCAGATCCTTGGTTTGCCAGTAACTAAGCATTTGCTCTATTCTCAAATCGTCTGTATGACAGGAAAGGTCAAAATTGCTGCATAGTCACTTTTCAGCCTTTCAAAATTAATAGCCTCATAGCTCACTATCAAATCAGTAATTTTTCTTTTTCTTAAGAGTAAAAAACACAGTGGCTATAAAGAAGGTCTATTACTATCCTATTCTATTTTGAGAGATATTGAAGTTTCTGGAAATAAATCCCAAATTGGTAAGTATAAAATCATACAACCATGGCTTTCTAAATAGTGGATACAGAAGAAGTGGTTTCAACCTTATAGAAGAGGCCTATATAGAATAGGTTTAATGACCTTCATATAATTTAATACTTCTTGCTGTATTTCAAGAAAAAAGAAGAAGTCATTCACATGGAGACATTTCCTAAATATCTAGTTCCTGCAGTATTTTTGAATTACACATGTCATGTTTTGTAAGGCAGCTTGTGGAAAATTGCTAACATGGAGAAGGAAGCATGGATCTCTAGTAAAGAATAAGGAACCATGAATTCCGTTTCTGGCTCTGCTATAATTTTCCGAGTGATCCTGAGCTGTATCCTTAACAATCGCGCACTTTCAGTTGCACACACTAGAATATCTTTTTCCCTCGTACCGGTCTTTGCTTGTCTCACTCGGTAGCAAGCTGCTCAAAGCACGCCAGTTCTCACCACACACTATGTAGGTCCTATGACAACGGATATATGATTTTAATGATTACCAGATTCGTTCAGTGAATAACATCCAAAGATGGAAGCATCACAGAGGAGAAGAAACCAGTGGCATGGGCAGTACAGGAAAATGTTATAAAGGGAAATAAAAGGTCCAATCTTATGGGCTTTGTGGGTGAAGGGGATGGTAAACTGAGCTGCAGTGTGAAGGCTGAGGGTGGAATAAGGCTGTTGAAATGCATGCAAGCCGTAAAACACTAGACTCCCAATACAAGGATTTATCTTTTTTTTCCCCTTTTCCACTTTCATTTATTGTTTTGGGTGTTACTCCTGGGAATGCACTCCCCTACTCTTACTGCCAAACACAGGCAAGATGAAAAAAAAAAAAGCAATAAAAAGCAGGCAGCTTCTCATAAATTTGAAGATTTCTAGTCTTACAAAGTTGCAAGAGCAGCCCATACAAGTGTCTCTCTCTCTTTCCAACTATTGTAGTCTTAGGCACAAAATCACTAACATTTTCAGTGGGAATAATGCTAATCTCAAAATTTGCCTGCAAATTGCTCAGGGGTAATGTTCCTTTCATTAATTTATAATCAAATTCCTTCCTTAGGGCAAATGTGAGTGCCCTTTTTCTTTTATCACAACACTTCCTTCCCCCTGCCCATGCACATCATTACTACTACGAAAAATTGGAGAGGAAGAAAATCTTCTGAGATAGTGTATCTTTAAAGGCTACAGCTAAGTCTAGAAAGCTTTGTTCCCAAAATGGAAAATGTTTTTCTAAGGTAAATAATTTCAAGACTCTCTTTCTGTCACTTTTCAGTTGCTTTTCCATCCTGCAGTGTTTAGTCTAAGTTGCCATGTGGGTGTTGCAGTGGTGGGTTCATATCACCTACTGGTACCCTTTTGCCCTGCTGCATCACCTGACCAGGGGGGATATTTCCTCTGATATCACCTTGCAGCCCAAGGGCCTCCTCATTCCCAAAGCCTTACTAGTAAAAAGCTCCAGTCTATTTGTATACAAATGCAATACTATATTTAATCTGACACTATAGGTACATATAGTCTGATAGTAAATACTATTACTACTAGTAGTTATAATGAGAACAAATAAGACATTAAAAATTGCTTGAGAAATCCTTCAGCCTTTACCATATATAGTTTCTTAGTGTATGTAGCTAAGCCCTTAAATCCTTCCTTCTGGCTTAAACACATCTATATGCCATCTCCTTATAAGTCAGACCAGCAAAAATAAACAGGGCACAGCTTTCACTTGGTGCAGAAAAGAGTGGGAAAAGGAGGAGTATAAGATCCTACCACAGGGCAGAGAGAAAGATGTCTGTGTAGCTTCTTGACACATCTTCCTCAATGCATTTAGAATTAGGCTGACAGACTGTTTTGAGACTAGGAAATAGCCCCTCCTCCCTCAATTCAGTAAGGACTACTGTCTGGGTTTTTTTGATCTCGTGTTTCAGAACAGGACAGGACACAGTCCATATACTCAAAAAATCATGTACTGCTGCAGGAACATTGGCAGTGTGCCCTTTCTATCTGTCTGTAGCACCATGCAGTTGTACTTTTGGTCACTTTCCATGGGCCTGATGTTGTTTTGAGAAGTGTTTTGTGGCTTGTGCCCTTGGAGACAGGTTTCCTGCAGTAACTGCTGTATGTTCTGGAAGGGGATCTCCACGTCAGAGAGGTCTTGGAGGTTGCTCTGCCCATGAGCTGGCTGCAGTTGTTGACATTGAGGTGGTGTCTGGAAGCCTCACTGTTCCTGCACTGTTCCTGCTACACTGTGAAGAGTGTGAGCTCCAGCAGATGGAGATTAGTTCTCATTAATAAAAGCCCTAAGGCACCATTTTGGTTTTTAGACATTAACTTGGTGTTAAGACATTAACTTTTGCTTTTTAACATTACCATGAAGTGGTTGATAAAGGAAGAGGTGTTTTCTCTTCCACTTTTCAAGTTCCACTGCATCTAGTCCCTTGCAGTGCAGGTGGGTGAAGTGATGGACATCACCTGTTCATACTCTACAGGAGGAGCCTTTACATTCCCCAGGTTTGAGGTGGGCTCCTTGCCATACTGAAAAGCTTATATGGGTTAAAGTTGTGTGAGTCTTTCACTGAGGACAGCAACCAAGATGACCAATACAGCTGTGAAATGTTTATTCCTAAATGGCAGGAGCACAGCAGAATGTTTTAGGTGTAATCTAAACCTTAATGGGGCCTACCTGGCTTTCCTTTGCAATCTCTTTTTTTCCCCTCTTCCTGGCACTCTTCATCTATTGGACAGTCCTTCCACAGCCTCACTAACTGAGCATTTATACAGCAGAGACTTTGTGGAAAATTCATTGACTTAATTTAATTTTGTTTCATTCTCTAGATTTTACCATAATACCATTTTCATGAATAAATAATGTGACAGCAGTCTGTCTTTATCTGAGTGCTGTAGATTAGCTGTTTCTGAATAGGCAAGGACCTCAAAAAAAAAGAAAAAGAAATAGTAGTGCTACTGTAATTTCAGATATTTTCTGAAAGAAAATTTTCAGTGTGAGGTCAGAAATACCCATCCCAAAAGGAAAAATACCAAAAATCTCTATCTGTGTAGACCAGAATGTAAGCCAAAGTACACATAGTCTTACCTCTCCTAATCTTCTGCATAAGAGATGCACCAGAGGCATCCCAACAACAAGAAATGAGGCCCTCTTTGTGGTTTTTATTGGGAAAAAAACCCCTCAAAATCTCTTTTTGAAAAACTGTTGAATGAAAATAATTCACCATTCCCCCCCATTTTTTGACTAATGCTTATGGTGACTTTTCTTGCCTAAATACTAAAACTGATAATAGCATATTGCTGTGGCCAAACACCACGGACTGTGAGGTGATAAAACAATGAAGTAACTTTTTCTGTGTATGACGAGCTACAGACCAGTCACGTAAAACAACATTACTTCAGCTCTGAAGAGCCTGGAATATTCTGTTATACCACACTGATCGCCTATGTTGATAACACAGCAGTTACTGCTGTGTTGCACCCAAATGAAAACTTTTTTGTTGCCTAATTAGGCAGAATAAATGTACTGATGTAGTAACTGAAAGGCAAATATCTGTCATATATTCTCTTTTCTCCAGCCCTTGAATTCTGCACTGAGG